AATTAAGCTATTATACTACACCTGTTACAAGTCCATGTGTCAACATCTCCAGCCAAGAATTTCCTACAAAGTGTGTGCTACAGGCTATTTATCTAGCGAGGTCACATACTTCCCATGATAACAGCACAGTGCTCCACAACTGAACTACAAGTTTAGAATCTAAAGTTAAACTTTAAATGCCCTAAATAAAGAAAACTTTCCATTCTACTGCCAGTGAAGAAACTAAACTGATTTTTTTTATCACTGCAGTAACCAGAAGACGATGGAGGAGTATCTTCTTAATAGGCAAACAAATTATACCTCTTCCAAAATTTGAAATAATTGGAGCATGACTTTACAAAAAATATACAGCAGGTTTCTATAGCGACCAGATGTAGGCTATAACAGCCAGCCTCCCTAGCACTGGCTGATGAAAGCAGCAGATAGTGACAGCCCTACATTTAATATCATTCCATACACCCAGGCAAGAATCCTAGATAAAACAAGAGGCCTATAGGCCTTAATGGTCATCTGACTATATAGACCATAAATAAATATGATAGAGGCTCAATGGGCCTGTATTGCTCACCTGTTCAACAGCTAATACAGAAGATGTTGTTATTCACAGTGTCAATATCTGTAAAATTTAAATCCTATTCCTCAAGCATGCTACTACACAAAGACCATGATTCAGGACCTAATGCTTGTTGAAGGTTCAAATTTAAATTTCTCAACACCTTTGACCCCCATGACTATGAAAGTGGGTCAAGGCCAATTATTTTAATAAATTTGGTAGCTTTCATCTTATTATGTTACAGAATCAATATCAATAGCTTTGACATTTTGGTTATTAAGAAGAAGCCATACAATGATGGATAAAACATGAATCAGTTGTCCTAACAAGACACTGATGGGTCTGAACGGTCAACAGACTATAATAATATAAGAGCATTAGTAATAGTATTAGGAATGGGTTTTTTTTTTTTCAATATTCCAGCAAATTTTCAGTTCATTGGCACATTGGAACTTGTGATGTTTAAAATGTATTTTTCTAGATAACATTATATTGCATTTTAAAAGGCCATTTCCTCAGGACCAACTCAAAATCATTACAAGCAAATCATCACAAAAAATATTTTAATACCCTCTGACCAAATGGACAATATCTAAATTTGCACCAATCAGAAGCCTCCTACCAGTGGCAATTTTGTCAAATCAGAAAATTGATTCTACAAATGTGCTAGTGACTGCAGTTGATAACCATTTACCAATTTTCAGGATATCAGATAATATCTAAATTTCTACCAATCAGATGCCTCTGTTTGACAGTATGTATGAATATCTTGAACAAATTAGATGATCTGACCACACAGTTACTTTGTACAATGTTTACTTGCAGAAATATACATTATCTTAATTCCAATCCAAGCTGTCTGCATTTATCTCCCTTTAAAAAACGTAAAGTAAATATGTTATTCATATTAAAAACTATTAATTCTCTAATTATAGAACTAAGATTGATCAAAATCAACATTACCAGAATACACTTTCAATCACTTGAAATAGATAGCTCGTTATTTTTATAAAATATTTCATCCCAACTATTTTATTATGCCACACCGGGCTGAAATGATATAAACCTGGGCAGTTATATATATATACACTTAACAAACAAAAAAGTTATCAAGTTACCTTGCCATACACCAAACATTTGTTAATTATGTAGATATTTTTTCAGTTACTAATGTGCTTTGTAGGAATCACTGAATAAGTTGCCAACCTTTTTATTCAAATCAATCGTGTGAAATTCAATGATTGTCTCTTTCAACAAAACCATTTCCATCATTTTACTCAAGAATTTTTCAGTGAATTTCCTAAACAGCTTTCTCACTATCTCAAAACTTTAACACTTGAAAAATCATGATTTGGTTTTGAACTGTATAGATAAATGCAAAGCAACGTCTGTCAAAAGATGACAGGAGAAAGGACTGTTGGCATGCTCCAAGTAGGGACAACAGAAAGCAAGATTGCAAGACAATTTGGTCATTTATGGCAAAATTTTAATGCAACTGCATCAACATCTGACTGTCCCAAGACCAACTAGCACGATGGCTCTTACAGCTATGTAACAATTTTTTTCACTGATGAGTCGATATTTTGTAAGTTGTACAATGATGGGATGCAGCGAGTATGGCGACGTTGGAAGAAACACTTCACAAGACTGCTGTGTAGCAAATGTGACATATCTTGTGGGGGTAGTGTAATGATTCAAGGTTGCATATCTGCTTAAAATCGAACCAGAATAGTCATTGTCAATTTCAATTTAAATCCAATTCAAAAGTATTAGAACAAAATTTAAGCACCTGTCACTGTTCTGTTTTTACAGCTGGGAGCTAGGTCCATTTTGCAACATGAAAATGTAAATGCAATAAGTCCCCCATGTTATTTGAGGACATACCCGGTAATTAGCAAATGGACATAGTAATCTATACAGTAACTTCTGAATTAACACCTTGTCCAACAGTCCAGACCAGACGTATAGATTTAACTGTCAGGCAGGTGACGTTTTTAATGCTACTTGCATGTAGTATGATTGGCTCAATATAAAGCCTATTTGAAAAAATAATTCTGTTATCAGCATTCCGATTTTGTTCTGTAACACCTTTCTGGAAATTCTCAACTTTCATTTTCATCGCCACATAAACCATATCATGTTAGACCTGATATCAGTATCAACTAAATGATAAAATCAAAGGAACTTGGAATGAAATAGCATAGAATAATGTATTCTGGTGTAAATTCATTCAAATGTAGTTGTATGCAACTGACTTGTGAACTCTTTCAGTCTCAGTTAAAGACCATAACACAGGTAAGTTTGGTGACATTGTGGCAATGTAATCCAGGGTACACAATTGTATGTTTGCACAAATGTTCTAAAAAGATTGTGGCAAATGGCAATATGTATATTTGGCAATATGTAAGATTGTGATGCTATAACAGGTGCATTTCAGTGCAGGAAAATCTGTTGATTTAATTGATTGCAGTATGCGAGTTTGGCAATACCTTGCACTGTAGTCATTAGCGATTAGACAAGAGATTGCTAAAAACACATCCAGATATCTTCACAAAATGTATGATGTACTGTTGATCGATTTCAGATGCTTAATATAATTTTGCTTTAACATTACACCTACCTTTATTATCCAAAACTGCTCACATTATCCTTTCCTGGCTTTATTCCATCACTACAAAAAACTGCTCTCTTCATCCATACCAGGCTTCTGTTCCACCAGCTATACAGTTCTCAGCTATATAGTGTTGATGAGATGAAGACTGTGCATTTCAGAGTATATATCGCGATTAAGAAAATAAATTATTCCAGTGCAGCAAATAAACAAATTGAAAGGTTTTTTTTCTTTCTTTTTTTTTCACTTTTCATTGATGTACCCATGCAGTTTTATTTTGATTCATGTATGCTTAATACTGTTACATGAAGCCATAAGGGCTGAAAAACAAAATATTGAAAATTCAGTCACTATCTCACTGTCAATCTATGGTTGTACCACATTTCTTACTGATTGACATAGTATTGAAAATTAGATCTAAGAAACCATATCCCCATAACCATAAACAAGCATTTTGAATTAAGTGGCAATTCTCCAAACTCAGAACTTGTCAAATTGTGGGATGGCCCAATTAAGACAATGAATTTGTCTATCACAAATGGATATCTTGTGCACAAATGCAGGAACACAATATGAGTTATGAAGACAGAACATTAAAACATCTGTGAGGAAAATGAACAATATTTGGGAACTATTCACAGTGATTTCCAAAGGACCCTCAATTTTACGAGTTGTAAGAGTTCAAGGACACATTATATATAAAATAGAGTGTCCTTTGTCAACCTAATCTAATGGGTCAAAATGAAGGTGTGGTGGTAGTGGATGGAATCCTGGATTCGTCAACTGAATATGGCATTAGAAATTTGGCAATAAACAAACAAAGAAAATATACAACAAAGACTTTCATCTCTTACACGGACCTTGTTTACAATTTAAATGGAGAACTTCTTTACACATCAGCTCCCGCACTTTTTGATCATCTTCTAGTTTCACTCTCTTAGCGGCAGAAATATATACATAGCATGTCATTAATGAAGATTTCGTAAGTTGTGGATTAGTTAATTATATGCCTTTTGTGAAAACTTCACCCTTTATATAAAAAAGAGTAAAGTTTTCCGTATTGGGCCCCCACCGCCCAGTTTTCCGTATTGGGCCCCCACCGCCCCGGGGGTTGCACAAAATGATGTCAACCGCCCCGTAACGGGCAACTTGGATACCAGTGAAAACCCATGCCTTGTTTCATGTTATAACTTACCTTCACACCAAAATATCTGAGTTCAGAGGAGAATAAATCACTGCAATGAGAGGATTCATCGGATTTCCGATACATTTCCAGTGCATCCTCATTAACCTTACCGATTAATTAATATGTACAAGTCAACATACCGTGCACAGGAGATACATATACACACCTTTCTATAACGTGACACTGTGTCAGTGGACTAGTTCTAGCTGAGGGTATGTCGCTATTATCTTCCATTTAATACCACGTGTTATTTTTCTGATGTTTTTTTTCCTTTTATAATTCCTGTCATGGAACACTCAGTTGTCATTTGTTGTCGTCGCCATGTTGGCGGAAGTGGTCTCGTTTGTTAGCTGCTCTGTGATTGGCTGATCAGTTATGGGGAAGACAAATGTACGTCCATTTTATTGACCTACGTGTCAGTGCATCTTAGACAAGATATATAAATTTATTGGCCGTCATGCAAATCGAACTTAAATAATTACTTTGAAAAGAGCATTTGGTCACCAAAATACCCATTTTTTTCGCTATGTGTATTGTTATTGTATTGTAATGTTGAAGTTATCGTTCTTTCCAATGACGTAACGACAAAATACCTCTAATTGACCAATCGCTGCAGTTTGCTCGGCAGACACAAGCCAACATGGCGACGATAGTTTGCAAGAGATTGAAGGTGGAAGATGTCCCGACTTGAGATTTGGCGATGTAAGTTGAATGTGCTACTCAGAATGATATTTTCAATGGAACTTTGACATTTTTCTATGTTAAAGGAGTATCAGCTAACTGATTTTTAGCTCATGGAAGAGGGTGAATACAGTGATTATTGATAAACAATAGGCCCTGCACAAACTGAAGCCAGTTTGTTCATAGTCATGCAGGGACATGACCACGAAGGAACCATAGACCAGAGATGTGTCGAAATTCAGTCATGCCGTGTTCATAAACGAAAAAAGCACTACATTTCGGCCGTAATAAATGACAACGAGCGTCGGAAAGCGTCGTCAGAATTTTTTTGATTACTAGATATCATTATGGACGTCAAACGATATCTTATAATATGAGGTTCTTTCCTGTAGGTTTGGTAGGATAGTGTTCCACCTAAAGTGACATAAAATGTCCTTAAATTCTCAAACCATGGGTTTTGCCACACTTAGGACTCATCATATTGAATGAAAAATTCTTTCTTTTTATTTGCCAAGAATTTTTCTAATTTCCCATTCTAAAATATTGAGAGAGAAAAATCTGCTTCATCTTTTGAAAAAGGACTAGTACCAAAGACACCATATTACACAAAATTTACATTTTTTCACACCATAGACAGTTTGATGTAGAAATAAATTTCCAATGTCTAAATTTGGCAAAGACTGTCCCAAAAAATAAAGATATATTAAAAGCTGCCACTGTAAACAACTATTTGCACGTGTGTATATTTTGTAGAAGTTGAGAGCACAGGTCGTTTTACTATCCTCAGTTAGTGAGAATTTCCAATTAGTTGAGAGGTTGAATGTCTGGTTAGAGACGGACAGGACACTAGTTCAAACCCCAGCGGTGGCAGGATGTTTCTCGCCGACTCCTTCCTATAACACATATAGGAAGGGATATACTATACTTGCAGTGTTCCAGTAAGGATTTGAAAAGAGCATGGTACCAACCTAAAAAAAGGGGCATTTTTTTGGGGGTGAACTTGGTATTTTAGGACATTGCTTCATGGTGCACTATTTTCTAACAAATTATTTGGTGTAAATATAGTTCTAACAAGCTATATAAAGACATTTTTTCCCCTTTTTTCATTTATGTAGTAATATTTTCAATTTGTAAAAGTGAGTGAGAAATATTCCTGTTATAAATTCAGATTTAGTTCACTGATATCCTCTTCAGTTTTTGAAATGCTATACACAGAGAATCAAAATGACAACCAGCATTAAACAACATATTGTCATTAAAAATGTAAAATCGGCATGATGTTATTTAATGCCTTAGTAAGCTGTAGAGTGGTTGAACAATTAAGGCCTAGTAAAAAAAGACCAGTGGTGCTGATATTGAGCATGTTGCATGCTAGGATAAAGGACTACCAAGTCTGTTATTATATAATTGATCTTGACACATTTTCAAGGTCAGATATGTTAATCTTAGACAACTTCTTATCATTCTTATCAATAACCAATTGGCCCAGGGTGTGAATATTGTGTCTGTATCATGTTTGGGTGAAGTTTATTCTTATGACTGGCCTTGACACACTTTCAAGGTCACAGGGGTCAAATGTGTTGAAATAACTTCTCAATAAGCATTCTGGGATGAATGTGTACCAGTTTTGTTCATAGGATTGACCTTGATCCTTTTCAAAAGTCACAGGTTTCAAAGGTGTTCAGATTTTATAACAACTTCCTCTCAATAACCAAAATGCCCAGGGTTGCTGATATTGGGCCTTTGGCATGCTGTATGAAGGTCTGTCAAGTTTGTTCATATGATTACTTTGACCCTTTTTACAGGTCACAGGGGTCAGGTGCTTAAATTATGTTTGTAAATAATGTTTTTTCAATAACCAAAAGGTCAAGACTATTTATATTGGTTTTCTAGCATATTCAAATGATTACCCTTGACCTACTTGAAAGGGCACTGGGGTAAAAAATCTTGAGGTCTTCAAATTCTTCCAAAAAAGCAACTGATGCAGACTCATGGTATTTGTGTAGTAGCATGTATTAGGGACAGGGTTTCAAGTTTGCAGAAAATGCTATTATGAACTGACAATATCTTTGTAAACTGTAGAGTAGTTGAGCAGTGTAGACCTATTTGACCTCTTTCATGTTTAGGTCTTTATTGTCAAATGACTGTTAATGCCTATGGGCCTTCTGTTATTTTTAGATATTATGTGTCTACACTCAACACCCAGACTACTTATAACCTTAAACCACATAATTTCTTATCAAAAACCCCCAACAACATTCATCTATTTTTCAACAAGGATTAAACATGTTTTTAGATTATTTAATGAGGAAGTAGATGCTATTATTTTGCAGTCAGTTAAAAAGGAATATATATCATAAAATAACTTATTTTATCTGTGAGAAGTCCTAATTGTTTTATGCATTTTTCATACACTTTTGTCAGATTGAAAGAAAATGGTAGGCTTATCTTCTACTATTCAAGTGCATGGTTTGAAGAGAAAAAGAGTTAAAATGTTATAAGGTGTTTTTAATTGTGCACTTCTTGGCTAAATTAGCTAGAAAAGTTGTTTGGTGATGGTTTTGAAATAATCTGCTCTTTTGTTCTCCATAACAGGTACAGTAATCTCTAGAAAATATTAGAGGAGCAGGCCGTTAATAGTGCAAAGTGGATCTGGGGACCTTTATAGAGTTTACATTATAACATATGTAAGTATGCTTTCTTATGGCTTTCTGTAATGTTAACGTTCCACTTCAACCTTTGGTCAGAGGGAGCAAAATGAAATATTGTTGAACCAGTTTGAATTTCTCAGTTATGCTCTTGAAAATAATTAATTATCAGAATTTGAACTTCAAAGTGGGTATCACCTAAAATCATGATAAAGTGATTAAGAACATCTCAGCAAGGCAGGAAACAACCAACCAGTCAAGGCTGCAGCGTTTTTGGAACATTGAAAAAAAATCATTTTGTTCTACATCACACTGAATTTAGTGACAAAGAAAACATTAAAGCACAGAATTGCATATGTCTTCTTGTGTATTGGCAAAAACTAGAATTGACATATATCAGTATACAGAGTGTGGACTAACACTTGTTGATGGCTGCTAGGATTGATGTTTATTAGATCATCTGATCTTTGGAGGGATTTAGCTGAAACTTGTCAGGAATGATCCTGAAATGGTTTTGACCATGAAGTGTTCATTTTTCGGCCTGTCTGAAACTTATTATAGCTGCCATTATTGCTCTCAATTTAGACATCTTCTCTAGTTCTACTGGTTCCAGTATGGGAATAGAGAAAATTTTTCAAAATCCTTTTTTTTTTTTTTCAGTAGAAATATAAGGATTCTTTCCTAATTTGGTTTGAAGCATAATTGGGTGAAGGATATTAGTCAGGTGGGCAATGTAGGTCCCTTGGTCCTCTTGTTTGTATTGGGAAGTTTATTGTTTGCTACAATTGAAACTTCTTGGGTTGATCAAAAATCCATTATGGCCACAATCTTGAAAAAGACATTTAAAACCTTTAATCTCATTCCACTGGTGACCTAGAGCTTAAATTGGTGGGAATGTTAAGGAAGGGAGTCAACAAAGTGTTAGTATTTTTTGGTCTCTACAAGACTTAGTTCAAAATGGCAGACATGGCAGCAATTGAGTTGAAACTTGCCTGAACTGATCCTGAGGCGGTTCTTATCAAGTGTTGATATTTTTTTGTCTGTCCAAAATCTAATATGGCCTCCATAGCTGCCATCTTGAAAAACACATCTTAAACATCTTGTCAAGTTCCAGTGGTGCCATTAAGCTGAAAATTTTTCATGGAAATGTTATGATCTGAAATGAACATATTTTTGCCTTCACTGCTAAAATATTCCCAACTCTAAATCATTTAAAAACTGTTCTTACTACTTCTGCTGCTGCTATATCACATAAAGGTCTGTATAGTCGGATAACCATTAAGACCCATGAGCCTCTTGTTCTCAAATATCATATAGGTTCTTCTCTGTCCCTAGAAGTGCCCTATTAATTTTAGTACTGATTGGGAAACCAAGATGGCTGATAGGTGACCATCTTTGTTTTGGCAATTAAAGATTACTTTTGCTACTACTTAAGATTAATTTTCAAATTTTACACAATTAAGAGCTGAAAGATTGACAGAAAAAAACACAGGTAAAATATTGCCTTTTAAAGAATTTTCCTAAATCATTTTAATAACTATATATCTATATATCAACCACAAAATGCAAGTAAAAAATTGATAACATTTCTGTTATAGATATTAAATCTAATGTTGGCATATTGGATGTCATTACAAATGGTTAATCATTCAAAATTATACATGTTCTACCCAGTATGTCTGATACATAAGTGAATGAAATAAACATTTGTTATGGTTGAAAAATGATGGAATTTATACTACAGAAATGTAGTAAAATTAAAACCAGGTGAATAATTTACTTATTCTGTTCCATTTTACAGCGTATGGATTTGATTGGAAATAAACCTACTTTCCATGACTTTTGGATCTAGCTCATTACTAGCAAAACAGGTAAGCCTTTTTTTCTCTCCTTTATAGTAAGCATCAAGTGCTGTGGTAATGAAACACATGCATAGTGTTGGCTCTAAATCCCTACAGGGTTAGAAAAATCCATTCGTCCGCTCGTCTAGATGAGTCAAAGCTACTTGCGGGCGGATGATTTGTTTCAGCTACTTGTCCGGATGTAGTATCCTTGTTTACACCATGTGTCAAGACTCTGGCTGATCCAGACTAGGCGAAAACCTATCACGTCACCACAAGGTTGTTTTGTGTATGTAATTACTGTCAAAAAGTCAATGTTCTTGTTCGTGTTAACAGTGAATTAAATATGAGTACAACAATATAAGCAAGTGTTGAGTTCAAACATTTGATGTAGAAATTGATAATAAAATTTGAGTTCCTTAAATTGTGTTTTGTTGCCTTTTTTCTTCGGGTGAGTGAATATTGGATTCGGGCAAATGGATTTCAAATTTCACTTGCCCGACAGACAAGTAGATGAAAATAGTTTTTTCTAGCCCTGCCCTACCACTGGTGGAAATTGTTGAAATGCTTTTGAATCAGCAGCTCAACACCTGAATTTTCACTTGTATACTGACACTGGCTCAAGTCCCTGTGGACAGGTTTTATGAAGAAGTGAGACAAAAGACTTTTCTAACTAATAATCGTACTGCAACGTATATGTGTTGCCTCAGGCTCTGGGTCTTGGAATCTTAGTTTGTTAACTAGCAATGTTTTAAGATTTTTGTATATATATACAGTATGTGTTACCTTTGGCTCTGATAGTAGAAACAATTACAGGGACAATCACAGGGAGTTCTTTTCAATAAGTGATGTTTACTAATCTAAATTCATTAATTATAGCCTTTGGGTTTGTGTTATTTTTAGCGATGCCATATTTGATCATCTGATGTTAAGTTATTACATTATGAAAGTGGTTGATTCAGATTTTATCAGTGAATTGTATTTTGTCTCGCATATGACCTCCTGATTTTGTTTACAACATGTATGCCAATGTCAGGATTGACATGAGGTCATAAATTATTCCGAGTATATAACAACTGTTGATTATCATGACATTTTGACTGATATTGGAAGGTTTGGACTTCATATCAATTAAAAGTACACATAAAATTTTATCACACAATTGTAAATTGATTTAATGTTTGAACATATTTTCGCCCATTCCTAGAAACAATTCCTGTACTAAAAAGACTGAAATGTGACCTGGCTTTATTTAAACTTTGAAAAAAAAACATTATTAATGAACAGCTATGAAAGTAATAAAGACATAGTTGTGTTAAAAATTGGAATTTTGCAAAATGTTGACTTGAATTATTTTATGTTTAAAACATTGAATTGTCACCCAGATGAAGTCCAAATGTGATAAACTTGTTTATGATAGGTAATTGATAAGACCATTGAATTATCTCAAACCAACCTGCACACCCGTGCAATCAAGATGCTGTAGACATAAATCTTACTTCCTCAAAAATTCTGTAATAAATGCAACAAAGTGGTAAGGTTCATCCAATTTTAAAAAGATAAAATGTGATTTAGTAAGGAATAGTAATTGAAATATAATCATAAAATGGCTTGTTTCTATCAAAATAATACAAGAAAAAACATCGGAAATACTATTAATTTTGCAAACGTCAATCCTGGACCTAAAATTTAAGGAAATTATAATACATACCTTGTAAATCATGATTTTCAGTGTTATAAAACTATTTACTTAATTGCTTTCTGTTTTGACAGAGCAAAAGACTTTTTTGTGTTTTTTTTATGTACTTCTATTTTAATGTATATAGACACGAGACAGGTACATATTTTTCCCCCCAAGTGCAATTACAATTGAATTCTAATTCTAGCACACATTTTGCGTTTGCTTTTGTTTTAGTTATATGCACTTTTGGTTGTCATTCATGGATACAAACATAATAATGTTAGTCACAGACTTCAATTACAGTGACTCATTATATTTCTAATTTGCTAAAACAACAGTTTTTTCATAGTTAATGATTAATTAGCTAGTAAGATTGATTTTTGATCAGCAACAGCATCTGAAAATTAAACAAGCCTTCCTTCACAAGAGTAATTGGTTTGCTGGGACAACATGTACTATCCTGTTAAAATGTATTGCCTAGAATGTAGACAGTACAGACTGGTCATCACTACAACCTCCAGCAGCGAACTTTCACGTCTATCATACTTGTCTTTCTGGTGTTGGGTGTTGCCTGGTTGAAACACCTAGGTTGAAACATAGACTATACTTAGTCCTCTATGCCCAGGTGACAATCAACACCCATAAGGTATTAGAATACCAGGACACTGACATTTGATGGGTATAGTGTACTTGAAAGTAATTGTTCTTGTTCAGTATTGGTTCCCAACATCATCAGATGGCTTTATATCACCAGATTGTAGGTTGTTTTCATCAGATTGCTAGTTAACCCACTTATTACACAAATAAATAAAAAAAAGTGTATACAGTGATATCTCTAGGGATAGATGTCTTCTTCAACTGTTTTACTTTGAATTGATTAATGACATTTGTTTATGTTCCGTGATGTGCTAGCATCCTAGCCCTTCCTTCCTGTTTCCTGATCTGGGAATATTGTTTTGGTACACATAAGTCTATCCTGCTTTTCCTTTGTAACAATGCCACACTGTGGTCGGAAAGAATGGCCATTTCACACTCATAGTTATTATTGTTCCAAGCACAACAGGAGACTGCTGATCGAGATCAGAATGTAAGAAATAATCATGTATATTGGTATACACATTGGTATGTAAAAGGTATTATTATTTGAATTAATTGTAATTTTGATGATCTCTACTGTCCAGAATTAAACAGCGTCTTTACCAGTACTTAGATTAGCTAGACAATAATGTGTATGACATTGAAGAAAAAATTGAAGGTGATTTAAACAGTTTGAAGTTGTAGAAACACTTAAATGTATTTTTGTCACAAGTCCAAATTATTCGGACATTTAATCAACTTTTTAGGTCACTGGGCCCATAGGGTCTTGATGACTTATTGCAGTCATGTTTTGTCTATTGCTGAGTGTAGTAAACTTTTGTCAAACACTTCACTTCTGAAACCTCTGTTTAAATTTTTAAAGAAAATTGGTCTGAAGCATCATTTGTAGAAGACAATAATTTCTTAAATAAATGAAATTGATGCAATGGTTGAGGAAGCCAAAAAAAGGAAACAGGAAAAATTCTTTAAAATCCACCTTCTTTTGTACATGTAGGAATATTGGGATTCTTTTCCAAAAATATGTGGATGCTGTTCGTTTTTTGTCTGAAGCATGCATAGGTGATCATGACAAGTAACCAATTTTATACAAATGTTAGAACTCTGCAATCTTAGATGGGTGTGGCGAGGCCCAATAGGGGAATTAGGGCAAATTCTTTAAAATCATTCTTATGTAGGAATTAATCAATTTCCTTAAAATCTATCCTGTTTGTAAGAAATAGCAGGATAAAGGCCAAGTTTAGTTGCCATTTCTATCAGAATTACACCATAATTTGGTGACAACCTTATCTAGTCATTGATACATGCCCCATGAATATCATTTTTATTATATTTATAGGTTTTACTACAAAATGACTGCTCTCAGAAATTTTTTTATCAAACTTTGTATGTGGGGCATCTGGCAGACATTATCACTGACCTACTTCGGGGTTGTGGGTTCAAAGCCTAAAGGGATAGTCTCCAGGTGGTTGTTCTCCAGAAACTCCAGTTTTTATCAACCATGCAAACCTGGCATGTCCTTAAATGACCCTGGCTGTTAATAAACCAAATCAACCCTAAGTTTGCAATGCACAATTCTCACAACAAAGTTAAAAATGGCTGCTATTTCCTGGCTAATACCTTTTCACCATAACTTTTGTACTATTCATTGCACTAAGATGAGTACTGGTGGAAGGCATAAGTGTACAACATGCTCTAAGATGGTGTGATTAAGAATGATGATGCTAACAAAATGGCTGCAAAAAGGAGTCTTCTGATTGGTCAAAGTTAAGATGGGTTTTTTTGTGAAAACTGGTCTAACATCAGGAGCACAATGGTAGAAGCCTATTATTAGTTGGAAAGTAGGTTTTCCTGGAGATTGGTTTATAGATATTGCATGACACTTTAGAAATGCTATAGCAAAGGCCATTTTCTTATTTAACAAAATTGGCCCTGAGGGGAGGCTTCTAATCAGTTGAATTTTGGATATTTTTCAGATTTTTACGTAAATTGGTAAAAGTTGCATATGTAATCTGACATGAAGAGAACAATAGTGAAAATATTTTTCTGCTTTGATAGAAAGACTGCCCTAGACAAGCAACTAATATGAGGGAAATTTCAATATTCTTGCATTTTGATCAATTATGTAGAAAAAAGAATATAATTATCAGGCTTCAATGTTCATATATTTCAGATTTCAAACAGTTACAAACAAGTACATGTGAGATGAAGTCAACCATCACAAGATGTTCCACTAACACATCAAGTGGTAGTCATGGCCCGAGCAGCAGTGGAGCCAGTGTTGTGACAGGAGGCAGCACAAGTGACCAAGGTAACATATCTTCTTTATCATTTTAACTGTGGAGCCTGGCAACTCATTTACAATCTGGAAGGTTTGTACCCACATGGACCCTCCACCAAGAAGGACCTCTTTTGTCAACAAGTTATTGGTGTCAAGGAAATTTAAAAAATGAATTAGAAATTTGATGCTTAAAGTGTGTATCTGAAAGATATGGAAAGAAAAGCCCTGTAAGACTGACTAAATTGTTTGTTTGTTTGTTTTTCTTGAATATTATTATGATGCCACCTTGCAGGTGCTGTTTATGTAGCAGGGTGAATACTTTCAGTGAAAATTTTAAAGAATATACATTTGCTCATCACATACCTTTGGTCATTTGACATCTGTGGTTTGTGTGCATGCATTACTGTATACTTCTTATGCAAGTAAATGAGATTTAAACATAGCAAAGAGAGGACCTTGTGTTGACCTTGTGGTGACCTTGAACATGGTTGATTGCTCAAAAGACTGATATGATTTACTCTTCATTCACTGTGCTTTTTCATCTAAATTCACTTTCATGCACTTTTAACCACAGAAACCAACAACATTACCATGGTGATATTAGAATGGATAGTTGTCCTATTCATTTCCCCAACAACCAGTGTTTTATTTCTTTGTTGCATGCTTCATGCTATCTAGTAACAATAATTCTGGATGAACAACACAATGTTGTTTAGCATTTTGTTGTGGCGTCCTACTGATTGTAGTGTTCTTCACTCTTATGTAATGATGACGAGGAATGCTGGTATACGAATGAGTGGGACAGAGAGTGTCTAATATATAAGTCAAGTAAATATTGCATTAATTGATACATTTTTATACTGGTATATTAAATAGTTGGAAACTAATTGTTTATCAATTACTTATATATTTCTTTTTTTCTTGATTTTTAAAAAGTTATAATTTGATAAACACAGAAATACCTGATAAAGAATGTTTTAATGGTAAAGCATTGTCATCATAATGTATGGCATATTCAACATTTGTGTTTTTGTCAAAACTTGATTATTTAATTGATGTTTGTAAGAGAGTGTTATGAGAGATGCCCTGTGGCAACAAATTTCAAGATTCCCTTTTATTTTTTCACACATTGTGTTGGAGTAAATTATCCGAATTTTCAACATAAAGAAGCAACAGTATGTAAATAGTTAATAAATGACATTTCCAAAAATTAATTTGTAAAAGGTTCAAGTAGTAGTTTTTGTGGGAATATGTATATGCATGGATTATATGATGATGTTATAGGTTACCATTTTGGGGGACTGTTTTATAAATATGACACATTTATCCTTAGCTCAGTGATTGTTATTTGTCATGATTGGTATATAATTTTCCAGCAGAACCGATAAGGAATAGTACTACATGTATTATGTTAAAGTTTGTATCATTGTAAGTTTTATTGGGCTTCAAATACTCATTCAAATTAATTTGTTGAATTTTTGGTTTGATTTCAGTAGCTTTTAATGGATATCCTTACACCCAAGGTAAATCCTCTTCATGAAATTCTGTTTTGTTTTATTTATTTATCATTTTGTATTTTTGTATGATATATGTTACTTCACTCATTTGTTAAATACTAGTATACAACATTAAATTCCTGTGTATCTAGGTAGGTTAAAAAAAAATAGAAAATCAAATGGCCTTTCTATGATGTAACAAATCATTCACGTCTGTAGATCGAGGTTTGCAGTGCTTCACAACACCATTAGCCATTGTTAATTATCATAATTGCCTAGCTAGCTGCAACTGGAATTTGAAACACTTTAAGAAAGAAAAGAATAATTACTGGGAAAGGTATGGCTTTTTGAAAATTTGTTAATACGAAGAGGGATATTGGTCTGCCCTTTAGGTCTACATTAGAATACTATTCTGGTCAGAAAAGGGTTCCAACGATTAAAGGAATGTATAGTTTCTGTTTGAGATGTTTTTGGAATTGGATCGTGGAATTTCAAAGTTACTTAGAGAAAGGATATTTGTTTAAAGATAATACCAAACCTTAAAAATGGCAAGTGTTGTAGAATTGTTTCAATAAAATGGTAGAAGTCAGTGGCTTAGTGGCTGTTGAGTACGTATGTACTAACTTAGCTTTGTGTCCCTTGTATTGAAGGTGGACCGGATTTGGTCTGTCTCACACAGGTAATGTATACTTCTCCTTCTTATAAATTTTAACTAAGCCTTTATACCCTACATGAGACGGCCCACCGGTATGTATGTACTATGTCTGTTTATTGATTATATTATATATTCATCATTACCTGCGTGCGTGCCTTTGGTTTGTAGAGAGCTCATGCCTTGGGGGAGTTGTCTCCCATGGTAAGGGGAGGTCTAACAGTTTTCTCCCTTGGTAAGGGGAGATCTTACAGTTGTCTCCCTTGGTAAGGGGAGGTCTGACAGTTGTCTCCCTTGGTAAGGGGAGTTGCCATAAATAGGTTATCTCCCCAATTAGTGGTTTGGTTTTCTTAATGCAGTACTAAAATTATACATTCATGAAAGAATTTTTTAAAAAATACAGTGAAAATTTTCAAAATGAAAGACAGCTTTTAAGTATCAAGAAACATCTTATGACATCAGTATCATGAAAGTTATCAAGTCATTGATAATCAATAAGAAGTAATGGATATTGTGTTCAGTTATTTTAAATCATTTTGATGTTTATCTAGAATGATAGTTTAGAAATACAAGGTAGGATTTAGTGTATGTCAAGGTTTTCTATACATTCAAATCACTTTCATAGATGCCAAGTCCTGATCCAGCCTCTATTTTTTGTTAGATCTGTAATTGATAGCATATCACCAAGACACCTTGTACACCAGGGGCAATACAGCTTTCATTTGTCTTGTTAACTTATTTAGAAATTCAGGAAATCTTTGACTTATCTCAGCATTTTATAATTTTCTTGATTTAAAGCATTTTCCTAATTAACAAAGCATACTTGTGTTGAAAGATTATTCAGCTTTTACAATTAAAATAGATTGGAAAATTAAATTTTTCAAAGTGATTATTGACTTACCTTGTTATGATGATAACTCTGCTGACAAAATTTTGGACAGGAAAATGGATATTTTTTATATTTTTTTTTGTAATGGAATAATATTTCTAAATGGTGGTCAGTGTTCTAAACTTGATGGAAATCATAAATGGATAGTGTTCTATGAAAGCAAAAATTAAATTTTATGTTAAAAATTGACATTGTATTGGAATGGAGGAACCCTGTCCATATTTTCTTTGCAGAATCTACAGTTGTTTAATTTCCGTTCATTTCTATGGCTAATGTGATAAAATACTATGGTTGAATAGGATAATAATTAACCTAGATAGACAATGCATGTAATGGATTGGGCTAGCCCCTGTTGGGGCCAAGTATGGCTAGCATGCAGCATTGTTTCTATGGTAATACAGCAACATGCACTGGATATTGAGCAATCAACCATCTGGTCAACACAAATTCACCGAGGTCCTCATGAGAGCCAATCTTCATTAAATTGTGTTTATTTCAGGCACAGAGATTTCTATGAAGATTCAAATATGTGTTCACATCTTCAAGATTTGAATTGTCAGTTTTTATAAAAGACTAGGTTCTGCAATACGGTGAACAAAGCAATTAAAAAAGTATCTGCCTTATATGTACTTCACTCCACAGTGTCATATGACTTGTTGCCATGGAAGATGTTTTCAGTTTCCCTGGACATGAATGTAGTCTGTATTCTACACATTTTACTCAAAGGTGACCAGACTTCTGTTTGAAGTGCAGTCATTATCAAACTGAGCTTTTGTGCTAAAGGCATTGTACCCTTTGATACTGTTAGATGATTCCCTCGTTGCTCCAAAGCTTATTCATTATATGTGTTACAACACATTTATCACATTCAAACATTTTGTAATTTTTTTTCTCTTCTATTCAGTGATAAAGGTTTAAAACCGTAGTGAGTATCACTGTCTGTCCTTTGGACAAAACTTGAGGGAACTAAATTTATTGAATATATCGTACATATAGATATTATGACTCATGAAGTGCTGTTACTCGAAAGTTTGTGAAAAAATTAAAAGTAGATTCTTCAGTAACAGTCATATTCTATGGTTTACGCAATTCTTTCCAGGACGCTTCACCATAACGAGATTTTCTATGTAAGTTTTAATACTTAAACCGTACAACCTGAATGAGAGTTTGTAAGAACGTGTACAGGTGCAACGATATATATGTTTAATGTAAACATTCTTTGATATTGGTCACTGTTAAAGGGGGGGGGGATATTTTATCAAAAGCTGTTGCAATTTACAAAATTGTAAATGGAATATATATGGTATACATGTTCTCTGTATGACTCAAAACTTTGAACACTTTAGAGGGAAAAAAAATACTTTTCCAAGGAATGTATTGTCATTTCTACTAGGTCATGAAAACCTGTCTAACACTGGGTTGATTGGAATATTGTCTTGGGTGTAATTTAACTTAACTTGAGTGTATGATCACATTGCTATTATAAAAGTCAATTTTTTAAATTCACAAAGTACTTTTTATCCCTAACAATGTGAAGAGAAAGCAGTTTTATCACAGTTTGGTGATGTTCTTGGGCCAGAGGTAATGGCAGACACACCATTCAAATTTGTGTTCATATATATATATCTATATTGTCCTAACCATGTAGGTAGTCTTCCTACTAGAAAAAATGTGAAAACCCGTCTTTCCTCAAATCTTTGTTTCTTTGTGTTATGAGCAAAACTATTAACAAAAAAGAACAATTATCTCTAGTCTTTGTACTTATATTTTAATGCTTATTGTCCAAGTCTAACATCACAAGTTCTACCTACTCTTCAGAGCAGTTACATGGTGCATGCTGAAAACCAAAGGGCCTGTATTTGCAATATATAAATATTGGGCCATTTAGACAATTGAGCTTTCTTCCACTTCATCAACACATTCCCACTGTAAAACTGCTTGATTTGTCTCCTCTGTCTTGGTCACATCATGATCACGTAATCTGGCCTACTAC